TCTTCTTGCCACAGGAGCTGTGGTAGAAATGTGGGGAATGCTGCAGGACAGAGCTCGAGGATTCACTCCGCTTTGTTAAAGGGCTGTTCCGCCCCGTCTCTCCTGTAAACAGCCGTCAAGGGAGGAGAAACTCGATAGCCTCACTTAGCTGTGATCTGCTCTAACTGCAGAGATCATAGAGGGAGGGACGGAGGGACGGAGGGACGGAGACAGACAGACAAGGATGCTCGTCACTCAACCTTGAAAAGATGTTGAACAATTTATGTTGAGATAAAAAATGAATGTCAGTCAGTTGAGTAGCTGCATCGAGTAGACGAGATAAAACGTCGAGTGGCCTCTAAGTTTTAATTCTACAGGATTTACAAACATCCACATTTTCATAAAGATTCAAAACTCAACATTCATCCTTCGTTTTTACAAAATAACATAAAGATGTCGGCAGAGAAAAGAAAGTTAAGTGGAGGTAAAGACCAAAACTTTTTTCAGTCATCAAGAGACACTTGCTTTTCGTTTTCATGAGACACACACACACACACACGTCTGTGGCACCAGATCAACTTCATGAGATTCTCATAAAACTAACTTGTGTAACAACTTTACACCAGTTTGTTTAATTCATTTTAAAAAGTCTTCTTCTTACCTCCAAACGTACAAACCCTTGAAATCAAATCCCGCAGCCGTGACGGCCGAAGAATTTTGGCATCATTGTAATTTGATGTTTGTGGTGTTGACTCTCGGCCTCGGGGGCACGGACGCGTCTGAACTCGTCACATCGAGCTGCTGGTTTCAGGAGCAGAGGAGACGAGCTTGTTGAAAACAGCAGCTTCTGAAAACACGTCTGACGAGGGAGGAGAAACTCATGCATGTGGTAAATGTGGCGTAAAACCAAAACAATGAGCTGAAAGAAGCTAAAACACGTCAGAGCTGCAGGGTTAGTGATAAACCCTGAGGTTCTATCAATGTTAAAGAGAAGTGTGTGTGTGTGTGTGTCGTGGAATCAGTGTGTGGTTAATGTGCAGTAAGCGTGTTAACAAGTTTCTCTGCGGCTCAGAGGAATTAACAGGTTTCACATTCCCTGATTCCCTGAGAGATGTTGGTGAGTGAGACTGCTGATCCCTGCGGACGAGCCGCGTCACTTCTCACAACATCTCAGCAGATTCATGTCACGTATCAAGAAATGAAGAAGTTCTTTGATCCGTCAACATCTCTCGTCTCCATGTGCGAATTCCAGAAACAGACGTTTCACCCCGAAATCTAAACTAAGACACGAAAACTCGTATCAACTCGAAGTCGCCTTGAAATTCAATGGAGCTGCATCAGAGTTCACACACTCACAGAAATTATATTATAAATTATCATCTGATGAATAACAGAACGTCCCTCCTCCTGTTCGTCCGGATCCACGTCACAACGTGATGACTTCTTTCTCAGTTATAAAAGTATGAACAGTATTTAGGTTTTAACAGTTCTAACAGTATGAACAGTTTATTAATTATTTACTCATTGAATGAAATAAATCAAGCCCCCCCCCCCCCCCCATCCCTCTGCGTCTTTCAATTAAAGAGCAGCTCTCCTCATTAACCTGTGTCCCTGTGTGTTTCAGACAATTAGCGCCGCTCGACTGAATCGACTCTCGGGTCCCTGTGAAGAGAAGCATTTAATTTTTTCTCCTCCTCTTTCAAAAAGAGGGGAATCTCTCCACCCTCCTTTTGTCTGTCATCGCTCCCGTCAGGAGCTGATTTTAATCTACAGCTGTCTCGCTCTCAGCTGAAACAAATTCACACGTGTCACGCAGCCTCTGAGAAACGGAACATGTGGCAGAAATTGACAAGTCTTTTGTTCGACCCCCCCCCCCACCCCCCCCGCCCTCGGCAGCGTCCGTCTTTGTATCTGCGAGAGGAAGATGTTATGAGAACAGGTTCACAGTATTTCTAGTTCCTGTCACGTGACGGGATGAACCTGGCGAGAGGACATAACATTTGAAATTAAATGTTTCTCATCACATTTGAATCTTTCGGGAAATGGAAACATCTTTAATCCCACTGAAGCTGATTCGATCACTTATTTCACCTGTTGTTTTGTGGCCGTGAGATTTAAATATTTTGTGAAGCATTTAACAGAAATCAGGTTTTGTTTGCCGTGGTGAAGGTTAATGACATCGAAGGCCAGAAGGAGTTGAGCTTTTTCGTCTGCAACTTTTTATTTTCTTTTAAAAGCCTGAAGGTTTGCTCAGCTGAAGTTGCCTCTAGTCGTTATTTATAATAACATTTATGGAAAATCTAAAATATTAATCCTCAATTATATTTCCTTTCCTTAAGGGTTCGATAAAGACGTCGTAGGAATCAGAAAAGTTTTTGATCTCGGTAACTGCGCTCGACCATTCGCCAACCGTTCACCTGAACTCCTCCGGTAACGAGAGCCTGACCCGTTCATCGGGTTAGTGAGGGTTAATTATCTTCTCCCTCCAAACGTTGATATGAAAACTTTTATTTTACAGAATCACTGAAAGAATTCACTTTGTGGAGAAACTTGTTCACTGACTCAAGTCAAGGTCGAGATACTGGGTTGTGTCTGTGTTTTCTTTTTATTAATAGTTATTTACAACAAAGTTTAGTGTTAAACTGTGAAAAATTTCAAGCCTCAGGTCCATTTCTCTGTCCACGAATCACTGCCAATGTATTTTAATTTATCCATCGGCTGACATTCTTTACTCCTTAATATTGGCATCAGTCCCCAAAAGTGAAAATCAGTCAGACTCTGCATGAATGAATCTCCAACAAACGGACAAATGATCAAACCTGAGCGTATAATGGCAGCGTAGCATCACCGCATCCAAACAGAGCTTTATTTTACTCACGAGTAAACCTGTGCCGCCTGACATAGATTCACATTTCACCTTTTTAAGAGGCGTCGCTCACAGAAAAAAGTCAGAGCAGCCGAGGACAGAGCCGAGTCACCTCTGACCCGACGGTGCTCTCGCTCTACAGTTACAGGCTTTACAGCAAAACACAGGAAAGAACTTTACACTGGAGCCGGACGGACTGAAACAATACTTCAGTCCATATGGTCAAATATACACAGAGAACACTGCTGCATGCTGGGACGGCAGATTTACAGAACGTACCTGAAGGACACAAAGAGACGACACACACACACACACACACACACACACACACA